CATTTTAGTATACCTATATTCAGTAAGGAAACCCACTCCAATAAATATTTAGACTTCCGATCATCACACCACACTAGCGCATAGGTACCAGTTGTTTCAAGTCTTCTTGATAGCGAATGAGAAAGGAAAACAAGAAGAAATATCAAACATTACCGAAACTCTCAATAGAAACAACTACTCGAAGAACTTCATCAACAAAAACAACACAGACATTAAGTATGGCCAAAAACGCATTCCGAAAACATGGACCTCGACAGTTGTCATTCTATGTAGAGCAGAGACGTCAGGCGATGTAAGAAGAGTACTCAATCAGCTCGACATTAGAGTTTTCTTCAAAACATCAAACACAATACGAAACAACCTTGTCCATATAAAAGACCAAATCCCTAAAGCTTCTCTATCTAATTTTGTGTATAAAATAAAATGCTTGGAATGTGATGTGATATACATCGGACAAATATCTCGAAAAATCAAAATCAGAAGAAATGAGCATCGTAGAGCATCTGTTCGACGAACGAGAAATCCAGTCTAACTAGAAAAGCTTGAAAAATCATCAGCCAGCCATAGTTCTACACGCTATAGAATCAGGTCACAAAATTGATTTTGACAATATTGAAATAATCCAGAAAAAGCATTTCAGAAATCACAAAGAACGTCTAATATCAGAAGCGCTTCATATCAAGTGGAATCCAAATTGCCTGAATAGGAATGATGGACTAAAACAGAATTTGACCTGGTTACAACACCTCCCTCCCCTCCCCCATGAATTGACAAAATCAACACGAATGTGATAAGCAAGTTCACTATGTAAACACACACTGCCTTTCTAATTTTAAACTGATCAAATCCAACAATCTACACTTGATTTTGTTATCTTTACCAATTGAACAACTTGACAAAGAAAAGTGCCCCCAGACTGACGAACGATGATCAAGTTAGTAAACTTTGTTTTGATATCATAACAGATGTACTATTACCTTTGTTGTTTGGTTTAGTGATCTTCATTGTTATTTTGACTTTCAATATGCCCTTTTAACTTGACCTAACTTGTCTATTTTCTCACCTCTTAACTCTTTGTTATATGCTGGCTGAGATTTTGTAAATTCCGGTTTAATAATACTTTGGTAAAGCTATTAGTAGCATTAAATAGTGAAACGTCAGTAAAAACAACAATATCGTTTTGTTTTTCATTCATTGGGAAATACTAGAAAACTTAAATTATAATGAATACAGCTAATACATTTATTTTTATGGGATATATATATTACAGCTACTCTTTTTATACATACTTTCTGAAATAAATGTATTTTGTGGTAAATTAACGTTATATGTCTACTGTAAAATTTATTTAAAAGTATGAAAAATAAGTTATTACTACTCAAAAATGTGATAGAAAATAGTCATAGCTTAAAAATAGTCATCATCCTATGACTAATCATGTGATTCATCGTGTGATCGGATGACTGTAACATTTTATCAGGCCTTTTTCTCACCTTGGTCTTGGTCAAACCGCCAACCAATCAGAATATTTATTTTTCGCCAACCTAAGCCAAATTGGCAATAAATCAGAAAAATCTATTTCCATTATCCTCGAACCCCAGACCATGTGCATGGTCGGCGAGAGTCCTAACCACTGTGCCCCCGACGTGTTTTTCCTAACAGTCACGGGCCAGTCTTTGTCAGTGAAGCGCAAGGTGACATGGACGAATAGGCGTATCAGCATATCAGTTGAGTTGTGTTCACTGCGTCAGTATTATTATACCCACGCATAAGTCTACTCGGTCATATCATCTGTCAGGTTCGACATAACAAACTGGCGACAGGTTCATAACAAAAAGATTAATTCATTGAATCGAAGCTTGCAGATAGTGTAGTTGAAAATATGCATATGAAATAATTTACTGATAAAGAGAACAATACGTACTATATTTTTAAAAATAAATATTGACTAGGCAGTACATAAAGCTGATAATTACTCGTTCGTTATCTGAGAACACCACGTGTCTACTTTCATCGATATCACAGTATCCATTTTAGCCATAAGTGAAACTTTTCAGGAAAATACGGTATTAAATGTGATTACTTCCTTAGAAAAATACCTTTAAACGAAAAAACAACAGGAAAAACATAAGACAGTCATAAAGTCCAGGTGTTGGTCACAGGATTTCATCATGAGCTGACATCGGTTAGAGTAACATTAGAAAAGTAGTTGGGAGTATTTGATAGCTGTTTCACCCTAGTTTCGGACTCTTCAGTAGCTAGAGCTCGAATTCAAGACCTTCTAGCTACAAGGCGAGCTCGTAGACCATTAAGCCACTGGGATCTAATCTAATGGCATCCTAATTCACGATATATCGCGACCACTAACCAATGTCATCGGCGAGTATTTGAACTGGCAGAAGCTGGAATTCATGGGCCATTGGATTGGGCTTACGAGCTCGCCTTGAAGCCAGATGGTCCTGAGTTCTAACGCTCGTGGTGGGTATGTGCTGATGAAGAGTCCAAAACTAGGAAAAACAAGTGTCGCTACTCCCAGCTGGTTTTCCACTGCTATTTTAACCGATGTCAGCTCATGATGAAATCCTGTCAACAATCATTAAGTGTTTTAACCAATTCAGATAACAATATAGCGAAAATATTCATTCAGACAACTATAAAAAACACAAAATAATTGAGCAGAGAATATCCTTTTCGATAATTTCCTCTTCTGGCTCTACAATTATATATATGTTTATATACGTAGAATATTCTAGAATAGTAGTCAGTAACAATATTAGTGTTTTTTAGATAATGTCGATTTGTAAATTAAGATCGATGGGATTACAGTTCATTAAAGATGCTTAAATTACAATAATGATAAAGATAAAATAGCAGATAGAATATCAACTAAAATTAGGAAAATTTCCACAAAAATTCCGGATCATTCAAACCTAGTTGGCCAAGGTAAGGATAGTGTCTGAACTAGCTAAATTAGGCTTCCTTATGTGGCTCCCAACAGCCTCAGCAATATTTAGTAATCGAACTCTTAGGGTGAAGTTAAGATTAGTTGGTATGCTGCTGTAGATGACTTTGAAAGCCACCTTGTGTTCTGTATCCACGAGATGAGACAGGATAGCACTATGAATGGATTTGTTTGTCTTTTACTTAACCACACACGATGATGTTCAGAAACCCGACAATAGACACGCTAAACTGTACGGCCTATGTAACCGGCTCCACAGGGACAGTTAAATTGGTAGATACACATGGAAGAGACGAAATTAGGCAGTTTATCTTTTACTCATGAACGCACAAGAGGAGTGGTTTTGAAGACATAGCGTAGTTCAGCAGGAGAGAATGCTTTTTTACCGCATTTCTAAGGCTTTGTGTTAGTATCTCGATGATGTTGTCCCCGAGGAACCGCATTTGTAAGAATAAGGCCTTTTCAGGAACTGTTGGTACCTTGTACTGCTTTGATTTTAGATTCATATTCTTATCAATAAACTTTTCTGGATAACCATTTTCACTTAGCAACCGTTTAATATTATTAAGTTCTTCATCAAGGCATTCATCCAAGCAGAACGCTCTTGCTCTGTGAACCAAGCACTTTATCAGATTGCGTTTGTATTTTAAGGGCACGAAGCTGAAAAAATGATCATATTGACTCATTGATGTAGGTTTTCTATATACACTTCTTCTCATTGTGCTATCCTCCTTTCTGGTCATAAGGACTTCTAGAAATGAAATACTAGAGTCTTTTTGCTTTCTCAATAGTAAAAATTATTGCAGGATGAACCTAGTTAAATTTATCCAGGATGTTGTTTGCTTCCTCCTCATTTTTCATAATCAAAAATGTATCATCCATGTACCTGTAATAGAATTCAAGTTCATCAAAAACATCTTTCAAAGACTTTCAGTACCTAGTAATTTAATACTTTACTCGTTTGTTTATTCTCATAATCCTACAGTAGAGTGAAGCCTTCTTGGCCAGGCAATAGGATGTAGCTATCAGAAAACTCCTAAATAGAGGGTTAGAGTGAGAATATAAGTAATTACTGCTCTTTCATGCCAATATACTTTATTAGACACAACAGAAGCGATTCATTAAGACTCGAATTTATTTGTGTTTGTGTGTGTGATTTTGTATTACATGCTTAACACACTGCTGCAATATGATATATGATGTTACATTTGAGTATTTTTAAGATGTTTTATCACTGTTTTTACACAGTTACACTATCTGTCATAATGTTTATTACTATAAGGGCAAAGACACCTTGTGACAGCTTTTATCCTCACCCATCCGGTTGAAGTGAACAATCCCGGTGGGTGCGTACTGATGAAGAATCCAAAACTAGGACGAAACAGCTGTCCAGTACTCCCAGGTTTTCCAATGGCTCTCTACCTAATAATATCAGCTCATGATGAAAATCCTGTAACCAATCAAATCCCTACAAACCAACACTTGAATATCGATGAGATGCTCACTAGTGACTTGCCCTATTCAGGTAGGTAGTTACCTGGGGTTCTAGTGAGAAGTCGTGACCAGTAGGGTGCAGCAGGTCGGGTATGAGGACAAATACTTGCCGAAGACATTGGCTAGGGGTCGCGCTATGTCGTGAATTGGCAGAAGTTAGAATTCATGGGCCATCAGATCGAGTCCCAATGGCTTAATGGTCGACGAGCTCGCTAGCCTTGTAACCGGAAGGCCCTGGATTCGAATCCCGGTGGGTGAGTACTGTGAAGAGTCCTAAACTAGGACGAGACAGCTGTCCAGTACTCCCATGTTTACCGATGGCTCTCTAGCCGATGTCAGCTTATGATAAAAATCCTGTAACCAATCAAATCCCTACTAACCAACAATTGAAGATTCAATTTCTCTCAAAGACAAACTAAAAGACTTTGATATTTAAATACGAATTTATTAAATGCATCATTTGACATAGTCATTCAATATATTACAGATAAAGTAATAAATATATATTAATTATAGTCAAAAGAAAAATAATGTTACCATTAATTCATTAATTCTTTGTACAAGGAATTTTACCAAAAAAAATATATAAATAAACAAGATTATTTAAAATATAATTAAATTGTGTACACCAGTAAAAATTCAATATTCGATTTTTTTAAAGCGGGAAATATAAACTTGGCGACATAATGACGTTATTAGTTATATTAATTATTTTGGTCTTTATTGTATTTTATTTAAATTAAATGTAATAAAGATTTGGTAATATGACAAATATGACTCAAATTCTCTGAACTCTTTAGTAAGGTTACACATATGTTTTTGGTTCCTCTTCGTGTTACGATCATGAATTTGAGTTGATTTGAGAAGGTTTAATAGCAGCAGTAAATTATGTCGTCTCCTAGTAAGACCAGTTTGTAAGGCAGTAGTCATTCAGTGCGTATTGTAAGGATATACAGTAGACTTGTGTGTGTGTGAATGTGTGTGCAGAAATATACAGGCGATTTTAAGTACTTAGAGGATACATTATAACAAGAATAACACAAGGGAGATATATCATTGGCTGATAATAACACCTGTACTAATGTTTTTGTCTTCTAGGCAGTGGAACGGGTGGATGTAATGAGAAACCCTTCACACTAAAATCACCGTCAGGATTTTCAATCCATTGTATGTTAAGATTACGATAGTCTACATAGGAACCAGATGACTGATTATGAAATCTGTCTGATATACAACCATTCTTTAATGCATGTAGTTTAGTTTCTTCAGTTTTTAGTAGTTTAACAAGATGACACTAAAAAAAATAACAATGCAAAAAAGGTAATGATAGAAATTATGCAGTAATAACTCGAGGATTTAGATAAAAAAGGAAGACGAAATTTGCAGTATATAAAATGATATCATTCTATTTCACAGGTTCTCTTCAGCTGCAGACTACCTGAAATTACAGTGGTTATGCAGAGATGAAACAATTACTGCTGCTTTGCACAAAAGCTATGCAATTCAAATTTAACAACCAACTTTACCGACAAATTGATGGGGTAGAGATGGGTTCGCCTCTGGGACCTTTCCTGGCTGATGCCTTGAACAGACACAACTGTGTTCTGCTATCAATGGAACAACCTACTATCGCCAATATGCTGATGACACACTTGTTGTTTGCAATGACATGGATCACGCATCGGCATTATATGATCGCCTAAATAAGACCCATCCAAACATCAAATTCACCATGTAATATGGACATAATAATGAGTTCAATTTCCTGGAACTAAATGTGGAAAGAAAAAACGAAGGTATGATCGAAAAGCCCATCTACAGAAAAGAGACCTGGACTTGGCAATATCTTCATTATAACAGCTTTTTTCCCATAAGCTATTAACGTGGATTAGTGAGGACTTTGTACGTCAGAGCCAGAAAGCTATGTTCACCAAAGAAGGTCAAAGAAGAATTAGGTTTCGTTGAGAAATGTCCAAGAGAAAATGGATACCCAAAGGGATTTATGCAAAAGTATAGCAGAGAAAACGTTAAGAAAGAAAAATACGCAAATGTAGAAAAGAAGAAAGTATTTATTTGTCTCCCATTCAAAGGTGATACAGTGTCACAAAAGATTGACAAAAGACTGAAAGGTGCAATTAAAAGAAGCTTCTCTGCAGCTAAGCTCATAATATTATACAGCACCACTTCTTCTATAAGCCTCTCGAAACTGGATAAATACCCTGCTGATGTCACCTCTAACTGCGTTTATGAATTTAAGCGCACTTCTGGTCACAAGTACATTGGTAAGACGGAAAAAAGGGTTCCATCCGGTTTTCTGGACATATTTCAAGAAACCAGTGCCTGGAAGGAAGCAAATATTCTCAGAGTGCAATGACCAGATATAATGTTGATACCGATCATCTCGTAAAGATTTCTAAGTCTTTCCAAAATCCTCCATGCAAATATTTAATAGACAAAGGACAGCAAATTTACTACGATTTGCCAAAGCGATCGCAATCAAACGACTCAAACCAGACTTGTGCATACAGAAAGAGAGTGTCATTAATCTCTCACTCCCTTGATAACTGAATTTTGACTTTGATTACATTAATTAGTCACCTAATTCAGTGATCTCAACTCACTGAACAAATCGCAATCTTATAAAATGTAACCGCTTTTGCTTTTTGAGTTGCTATGTGAACCTACTAGCTAATACTGTATCTTAATTTTTTCTGTTTTCTATCTTACCCCTTTCCCTCTTTTCTACTTTGAAAGCGTATGAATTCATGATGAAAACTTAAACTAAAATTTGTAATGCTCACATTTTAGATGAGTCATTTTTACAGTAATTCTTATATACTACTCTTTAAACATTAAAGTATGTTATTATGATCTATATAACCATTGTAATTTCAAGTAGTCTGCAGCTGATGAGAACCTGTGAAATAGAACGATATCATTTTATAAACTGCAAATTTCGTTTTCCTTTCTTCATCGAAATTTATCAAGGGAACCAATTGTTTGAAACTCAAGGATTAATTTATATATGCGTCGGTGGCACAGTGGTTAGTACTCTCGCCAACCATGCACATGGTCCGGGGTTCGATCCCCTGCCGGCGCACACCCGATATCTATGGTTGGCCTGAATTTGGGCTGCCGATATCCATGCTGATAATTCCACACGTACTGAAAATACGGTGTGGAATCAAGCTGTAAATCAAAATAAAAAAATAAAATAAAAAAAATTATTTATACCAAAAATGAAACGCGTAGTGACCCCTGACTTTAAGGGAAACTTAACTTGCGATATCTTTAAGATTAGAATTCCACCATCTTTGAGGAGACTATTCTCTGCATCAATGCTAAGAGTAGTTTTCTGCGGTCGTCCACCGGTCTGCAGAAGTGTAGAGGACAATAACTCGCATATGACCACTTCTGTGTTCATGTATTAATTCATCTGTTCCTGTGAACCTAAGAATATTGGCCGTTCGATGCATATCCTGTTTGAAAGGGTTCATGAACACTGTTCCACACGGTTGAAGAATGGTAACAGTAACACCATAAGGGTTCAATAATTGAAAACCTTGTCGACACTGGTCATTATATTTCATCAAAGTCTACCTTCACTGTAATCTACGCAGTGAAGAACAACCTGCTAAAGACAATATGCTCTCATCTTGTTTGCATTTCCCAAGCTGCAAGCATTCAAACAGAGAAACTGAAGCTCTCAATGCAAAAGAAAATTGTTCCACTGCAACTGTAGAAGGCAGTAGACCTGGTGTCTCTTTATAGCCAAATTGTGTACACCTCATCTTCAAGTCACCATTTGTACAGATCTTCCGTATAGTGCTACTTCCGTCATTCCTTCATATTGTGTTTCTTGGTGTCCCTTTCACTTATGCAGTGTTTTTCCGCAACTCTGTAAAATTTGCTCTCTCTGACGTCAAATCCATCTACCTGCTATTTGATGTTTTTATACTGACGAACGTCCCTTTATATACTACTGATAAATCTTATCAGTAGTGCACGCGACACTACTACTTCTACTGTCATGGTAACAACCCTGATGTTTTCTGCTAACTGAAATTTTGTTTATTTTTGTTTTATTTTTTAACTCCTAATAACTCTTACATATCTTTGGAATTCTTATATAATCTCACATTTTCTTCCGTTTCTATGAGCATTCTGATTACAACTCATTCTTCAAATTATTTACCTCATTGAGTAACTCTAGTACCCTAATCCAACGAATTTTAAATGTTGAGTAATATCAACAGCTATGATTGTGACGACTTATCACTTTTGATACTGTCTTCTGTGAAGGAAAATTGTGTATAAACACTATTCTATAGAGACAGTAGATGAATTCGTCATAAATAGCCTCTTGGCTGATGTACCTGTTTTGGGTTGTTTTCTTTCAAATTAATTAGTATGGCATAAAATAACGAAATCATTGAGAAAGCCACAGCTCGAAAGACTGTTGAAAAATGGCCAAGTGTCAGAGGTCAAAAAGAGCATACGAATATCTTTTTCTGCTGAGTTGCAATATCATTTCACAAAAACATCAAATACTGTTATATTATCAGATTGTCGTCAGCGAGTAAGCGGTATAGCTGAATGGTATTTCAAACTGATCGAAATTTACTCATCACATTTCGCGTTGGCTACAATTGACGAGAAACTGCTGGTATGTTTTGATGATGAGTAATCACGAACATAATACTTTGATTTAGAGATTCCCATCAGTACTGACTTTTAACACCCAACAATTAGTGAGATTATGCAGTTTTGTCATCGTAGTCACTTTGTGATGCACTTCGGTCCATCTAATTTTATAGGGACTGAATAGATTAGAGGTATAACTTCTAACTGCAGCACTCAAAGATGCAGGTACCGATATCCAAGGAGGTGGGGCCGTGGTTCGTTCGAGGCTACCTGTAGGCCCTGTGGACTAGTGTCAATAAACACGTTACCCAAACTCACGCCTTTGCTTCTTCATGTTCCTTAGTCTAAGATTGGGTTGGACAATTTTAGAGATTATGTAATTCTTAGAATCATTTAGAAGTGTTACTATTTGCCAATCAAGCGATTTGACCGTATAGCTATCGTTATCATTCAAGATAACATTTTAATTATTCGTTTACATTCCCAGTGGAACAAAGGTCCTAAAGCCAGAGGTTTGAAGTTTCGGTAGCAATGGTGTCTTCTACAGGATGGGGTTGCTAACTTCATGCGCAACCTCCCTTCTTCATGAGTCTTATTACTGGTTTTGCGAGGTAAAGGAATGCGTCGGCCGAGGATCTAATCCCGGACCACATTCGTGGTTGGCGAGCATTCAACCACTGTGTCACCGACACACACACACACACGCGCAGGATAACATAACCCACATAAATTTACACTCCCAGATTAACGCGCTTTTACCTACGAAATTTTACCCAATTAACTAGTTCTCGGTGACTAATCAGCAATCTGTGTTTAACACTGTTGAAAACCAACCATTGAATATCTTATATATGAATAAACACATTAAAAAGTGAATAATTTTCGAATATATGCAGTAGTAATAAATTTCTGCATAAGATGACTCATTTCTCCTTCGTCTTCATCAGCATCTGAAACAAGTTGGCTACCCCAATCGTTAATAATCCATTCGGTTTTACAATTTGATATTTTCGTTTTGCTGTTTTGTAATTCGCTAGAAAATTTCATTTCATTTCATTTCCCACACAATCAAATAATATTTATTATAACAAATTCACCCGTTCAATGTTCAATGCATTATTCACATTGTGTTTAGAACAATATTTAACCAAAATAAAAGATAAAAGGATAAACTTTCTATAGTTTTGGTTTGTAAGGATTATTTATGTTTTACGAGTTGATCACGCACTGATATCCTAATCCTAATCCTTACAAACCAAAACTATGGAAAATTATTCTGATGCTCGCTAGTGACTTGCTACAGGTTGGAGCTTCCTGCAGTTCTAGTGAGAAGTCGTGACCAGTGAGGTTCAATTAGATGTCACGTGTGTGGATGAATGTCCCACCAACGACAATGGTTGGGGTCGCGCTAAACTCACGAATTGGTAGAAGTTAAAATTCATGTACTGGTCATTGAATCGGGTCCCAGTGGCTGAATGGTATACGAGCTTGCCTTGTAACCGGAAGGTCCTGGATTCGAACCCTGGCAGTGAGTGCGTACTGCCGATGATTCCCAAACTAGGATGAAACAGCAGCTGTCCAGTACTCCCTGGTTTTCAGTGGTTCTCTAACTGATATCAGTCCGTGATCAACTCGTAAAAGGATAAACGA